ATAGGCAAGGTTTGAATTCTTTTAATTAATTTCCCTCATGCCTGACTTTGAAGACAGTGTGTTGTTATTCGTTCAATTTCCCTTGCTCTTCCAGCAGTTTTCCTTGTGTCCATGCTGCATTTCCTGGGTTTCCCTCAGTTCTTGGGTGTTCTTTTTGTTGTTCTGTTTTAATTTTCCTTTTCTGTTCCAACTTTGGCAATTTCTATTTTCTTCTCTCTCCCTCACTCTTTTTGGGGATGGGGTCTTACACTATAGCTGACCTGGAACTCACAGCAGTTCTCTGCCTCCCAAGTGCTGGGTTACAGGTTGAGTTACTATGTCCAGCTTCTGATTTATTCCTTACACTGTGACCTGAGTGTCTTTTTAAGTACAAGTTTGAATGTAGACATAAATGTGCACAACTTGATAGAAAGCTACTAGAAGCCTATAGTGAACATTATATTAACTGATGAATATTCTCAAACGTATTGAAAAATAAGGAAATTGTCTTTGCTAATATTCTGAATCAGATTTGCAGTCCATATGAAAATGAAATGGGAAAAGAAGTAATTAGATCAACATTGGTGCAGAAAAACATAACTGCTGCTGCTTCTAGATGTTCATCTCCTTAGAAAACCCAGGAGAACCACTCGTTAACCTAGTAACCATTCATAAATTTACCAGGAAATTCTAAATAACATATTACATCATGCTGTACATTCACAATATGTAAATATAGAATATAACTGAAATAGAATTAAAGGATTAATAGAATTAATGAGAGCAATGAAAGTCTCCCAAGCGTGCAGGAACTGTAGAAGAAAGCAGGTAGGTCTTTGCCGACCACCCAGGACCTGAAAGTATGGAGCCTACAGCACGCTTTAGAGGGGCAGATCTAATAGATGATAACAGCTAATTCATCAAAGTCCTGACTGTCACTCAGAAAGTTGGTGAGACAATGTAAAATGACATTCCATGTTGTCCGAGGTTTATAGCATTGAATGTTGAGTGTGAGTCTCATGCTCTCCTGCCTTACTGTCCACAGACGAGGTGCTGGCCACATATGTAAGTTAGAGAGTACTCTCTAAAAGAATTTATTTTTATTTATTTTATGTGTTTGAGTGTTTTGGCTACATGTATGTGAGTGTACTCATGTTATGCAATGCCCACAGAGGCCAGAAGAGGGTATCAGATCCCCTGGAACTGGAGTTATGGAAGGTTGGTAGCTGCCATGTGGGTGTTGGGAACTGAACCTGGGTCGTCTTGAAGAACAGTGCTCTTAGCTGCTGAACCGTCTCTCCAGCCCCCTAGAGAATATTCTTAAATACAATCATGAGGGACAGTAGAAAGGTAATTGATGTTGAAATAGTCCATTTTGAAATGTAAGTCTGTTCCCCTGGAATTAGATATACTGGAGACCTTTTGATGACACTCATTAATGATGTCAGTGCAGCTCACCAGCACAAATTACAGCAGAATCTGCTAGTACTTGCTGCATGGGCAATGTGCTGAGGGGTTGGTAATTCGGTACATACATTTTAAGCTTTATGGACAGCATCTGTGCTGGATAGCTTTAGTGTCAACTTGACACACTTGGGTTGAGGGCACCTCAGTCGAGAAATTGCCTCTATTGGACTGGCCTGTGGCCATGTCTGAAGGGCATCTTCTTGATGAATAATGTGGGAGGGCCCAGCCCACCCCTGGGTAGGTGGGCCTGTGTTGCATAAGAAAGCAGGCTGAGCAGGGGTTGGGGGAGCAAGCCAATAAGCAGCGTCCCTCCATGGCCTGTGCTCCAGCTCCTGCCTCCGGGTTCCTGCCCTGAGTTCCTGCCTTGGGCTCCCTGATGAAAGTGACCTGGGAGATGTAAGACAAATAAACCCTTTCCTCCCCAAGTTGGTACTGGTCAGAGTATTTTGTCACAGCAATGAAGAACAAACCAGGACAACAACCATTTGATCTTCACATAGTTTCAGTCGTCTTGGGAACTATTAGTGCCTTATAGAGTCAGAAGCAGAGAATCTGAGTTCAGTGAATGTCCAGGGTCGAACAGCTAGGGAGTGGTAGACTTCACAGCATTAGCATGAGACCTCAGATTGCATTCTTGGTCTCTGTCCTGAGAGTTGACATGAACATGGATGCCTCAAAGACACTTCAGGTTCCCGTAACATAAACCTGTCTCTTGAGTCTTACCTGCCTCCACTTCCACCTTGGAAAGCAATGTGATGGTAGTTTTTAATATTTGTCTCATTAGAAGTCCTTCCATCTCCAGTTGCCAAGGTGTATTCCTGATAGTGCCTTCCATTTTTAGTAGTCCTCCATTCAGTCATCGCTCCCATGGTTTAAATTCTACCACTTGAATAAAAGCCTTGAGTCCTTTCGCTTTCTTTGATTTTCCCTGGTACCAGCCTCAGCCAAAGCTGTTACCATCTTCTGATTGCAGCACAAGCCTTGTTCTTCTGTCCTGTCCTCATCCCACCTCTGAATGCAGCAACCACACCTCTGGATTTGTGTGTGCCTGTGCATTTGTTTACAACTACTTAGACTCCTTCAGTGATTACTCCTTGGTCTTAGGCTAAAGACTAGGCATTCAGCAGGGACTGCAAGGACGTTATCCAACCTGTGCTGCCCGCTCCATGTTGGTTGACTATTCTCTCCCTGGACTGTACTTTCTGTGGAAAAAGTGGGACCATGGCTGCTTTGAGCTTTTTTCTGTGTATTCTCTGCGTGGCATTTTGCCCTTGTGTTGTTTTTCCTGCCTCTATGACAGTCTATCTGACAGAAGCAATGTAAACCTGAAAGAGGTTAGTTGGGACTTTGGTTTTAGAAGGTTCAGTACCTGGTGGTTTTGACCCATGCATTTGGGCGGAACATCATGGTGGCAGAAGTGTGTGGTGGAGGAGGCCGTTCACCTCATGGAGGGATGATAGAAAGGGGCCCCCAAGGGCACCATACTCAGTGACCTACTTCCTTCAGCCAGGCCCACCTCCTACCTTTTACTTCTTCCCAATAATGTTGTTGTATTGTGACCCCGTCAAGGGATGAATCCATTCCTTAGTTCAGAGCCCCCAGGATCAGACAAGCCCAGTGGCATGCTTCAATCAAGTTGACAGGTATCACAGTCTCCTTCTGAATTCCCTCTTCCATCTTGTCATATCACACTGCCTGGGGATACTTTCCCTGACCCTCTTCCAATGCCCCCAGGCCATATCCATTCTGGCTGCCGGTTACTGTAGCATCATGTTGGGGTGCATTTAATGTTGAAGACTGAACCCACAATGCATCCTCTGTATATTTGACTGAATGAGCACATCTGGCCTAAACAACTTCAATTTCTTCACATGGAAACTGAAGCTTTAATTGTGTAGGTAGGCATTTAGGTGTGGTTCGATTGCCTCTTACTGCTGGCAAACTGCTTCAAGGCTGTTCCCTTACCTGTTATCGGGAAAATAATGGTTACCTATTGGGTTGTTGTGGGATTACATGAGCCATTGACACCCCAGGCTCTGGGCCTTGCTGGACTGTGTGCTCATAGTATAGCTGTGGGCAACTTTGCCAGGACCTACCAGAGGTCGCACAGAGACATAGTCCCCTGAAGGTTTTTCTATACCCTGAGGGCATTTGAAATTATTTCGGATTATTCTTTTGTGAGCTTATGTCATTATTTTAAGATTTTTGCACATAGAGGGTGTGTGTACTTTGTGTCTTCAGTTTAAGTGCGGTACAGACATGGCCTATACTCAGTCCAGGAGCAGGTATTTCTGGTACACAGTGAAAATTTGTATTTACTCAGGGGACAAGAAGGCTACGTGCAGGTTGTATAGAACTTTGAATGTGCAACTGAGGCCTTTGAATTCAGACATTTTGAAGTAAAGGATTTTATGCAAGTGGTAAATTCTCTGCGTCAAACTGTTTTTAGAAGGTTGATCTGACTGCTGCAACCGGGATGGGGAGTCTGTATGTGGATTATAGTCTGATAGAGGGAGGGCTTGGGAAGGAGAGCTGGACTTAGGGGACTGATCGTGAGCTTTATTGAGTTAGAATTGCCTGTAAATCTTTTTAATGAAAGCATCTTGGGGTTAAGTGTGCAGGACGGAGGTCAGGAGAGGAGCCTGGGACAGAAGACCTGTGCAGGAAGCAGGGCTGCCGCTGGCACAAGGCATTGTTAGCCGCTGCTTCTGCACGTTGTACACCAGCTGATGGTAACACCACTCTTAAGTAGTACCCTGTAATTAAGGGTTTCCGTGAATGAGTGTGCCCTCCCAGTCAGATTTAGTGATGTGAATAGCTTCGTAAAATGTTGCAAATCACTTTGGTGTTGCTGAAAAGAGCAAAGTTGAAGGGCCCATGATATTATGAAACTCTCCTCCCCTAAAAGTGGTGAATATTAAGCATTAGTTTGATTTTATACATTTTTAACTGCCATATAAAAACATTTACTTGTCTTGAAAAGGAAGCTATAAATGTAAAAATAAACAGCTTTTTTTTTGTCTTTTTGAGACAGGGCTTCTCTGTAGCCCCAGCTGTCCTGAACTCACAATGTAGACCAGGCTGGCCTTGAACTCAAAAAGATCCGCCTGCCTCTGCCTCCCAAGTGCTGGGATTAAAGGCATGCGCCACCACGCCCAGCCTAAAAAAAAAATAAACAGCTTTTTAAAAAATCTTTATTTATTTTTATTATTTTATGTGTATGAGTGTATTGCCTTCATGTATGTGAGTGCACCCACGTTGTGCAATGCTGTGGAGGTCAGAAGAGGGCTTTGGATTCCCTTGGAACTGGAGTTGAGGATGGTTCGTAGCCACCATGTGGGTGCCGGGAATTGAACCCTGGTCCTCTGCAAGAGCAGTCAGTGCCCTTAACTGTTGAGCCATCTCTCCAGACCCCTAGAAACAGTTTTTGCAAAGAGCCTCAACTAAGGGTACAGATAGTAAAGTCCGAGGTTAGCTAGCAGTGAGCTGTATTCTGTGTTCCCAGAACACCTCACTAACTCACATGTGTACTTCTTCTCTCTTCTCCTAACTAGGAATTGTGGTGCTTGGAATTAACAGAGCTTATGGAAAAAATTCACTGAGTAAAAATCTTATAAAAATGGTGAGTGTAAGATTAAGCTATTTGCTTCAATGTTATAGCTACACTGTTGACATTAATTTGTAAATGATCTTTCTTTTTTTTCATTTTCCTCTTTCCTCTCCTTATTTTGATTTAGTTATCAAAAGCTGTGGATGCTTTAAAATCAGATAAGAAAGTTCGCACCATAATAATCAGGAGTGAAGTCCCTGGGGTGTTCTGCTCTGGTATGTAAAAGAATCTTACTACTGCTCACATACTTCCTCTGCAGTAATCCATTCTCCCTTAAAACGTTTCGTGGTTTGAACTCTATACCAACAATTGCTCTTTGCCTCTTCCTTACAATTTCACAAGAAAAAAGATGCCACGTCTTAGCATTAGAAAGAAAATTTTGCAACATGTGACTTGTTTTGGATGTTCAAAAATGCTTTAAACATTAAGATAATTATTTGTGGTAAAAGAGCAGTCCTTGTGAAACTTCAGTTGGGAAGGGAGAACTAGGACTTGGCCACAGTTTTCTGTTCGTTTCTTTGAGTTGCTCAGAAAATACTTCGAATGGCAATGCCTGTCTGCACTGAGATTTGAGTGCAGACCTGAGCTTTGGAAGACTGGGGTGTACTGCCTGTGGGTTACAGTGTTTCATGCTGATCACTCATGGGTGTTATCTGTTTGTGCTGTATTTGTTAAAGATTAAGTTATCTTACAGTTTGCTTCTAAGTATTTTCTGAACCATGAGTGGGAATGAATGTTTCTCCTAGTAAAAAAATGTAAGAGCTGTGGAAATAGTGGCTACATTGTGTTATTTAGGAAATTCTTTAAAAAAGTCCATACATACTCAGTTCAGATGAAATTTTTTCCACACAAACATGCTGTCTTCTTGGCAGTGTTACCTTTGAGGGTGTGGAATCTATGGATGCAGGAGGGATCCCTGTGTTCACTAAATGATAACTCTGTGGTTCCTAGGAACTTAACACCAGGAGAATTAGAGTTCTTCTGAGTGTAACCTTCAAGGCCAGGTGGAGTGGTCTGGAGGTGAATGGCTGCCCCACAGTGGCTCTGAGGTCCTCTAGGGTTGTGGCACAGCTCCTTGGGAACTGAGAGTGCTCTAAGACATCTAAGGAAAGCTGAGTGACATGAATCTTAGACTGTGAGATGATACTCCAAACGCATAAGACTTCACAGATGCGTGGTGTCTGCTTGGCAATTCCTAATTGCCTTGCAGTGCATACTGGGAAAATCCTTTTACTCTGGTTCCTTGGCTTCCTGTTTGTCCTGCATCTCAGTGTTAGCAATATTGTTTGGATAAGGCATTGGTGTTTTGGTACAGTCTAGTCTGTTGTTGCCTGTTACAGGTTGTGCAGATCATTCACCAAGTGCTGTTTGTCATGGTAACAAGTCAGCCTGAGAATTTTTATTCCAAATTTGTTTTCTGCTTTATATGTCTTAAAATTTTTGCATGATCAGGGTAATTGCTCCTGTTTTAATTCATAAGTTTTTTTTCCCTCTCTTTTTAAAAATCTGTATTCTGTTAGATGCTCTGTTTGAATTATAGACAATTTGGATCATTTCTTTTAGTGATCCATGGTCTCTAAAGGAATCACTCTTTCAGAGTTCTCTGAAGGGCTTTTTTTTCCCCTTAAATTTTTTGAAATAGTCCAGTAGCTCTGCTTGTATTTGCATGTATGAAATGTAATTCTGGATAAAAAAATCTTTACCTAATTAAGCTAATCATAATTTTTGCTGAGGCTGCATTTATCAGGCATTGTTCCTTGCACATCTGGGAAGTCATTGTTTTCTATTCTGAAGTAGTAGTAACAGTCACAGACTTTGAAAACATCTGATAACTCTTCTAGAGTTCTCCAAGGCCCTGAGGTCACCAACTAGCCCTCCCTGATTCCAAAGGCCGTATTGGAGTCTAGAGAACACACAAGCAGAGAGGGTTGCATGCGGCTTCTTAGTTACAACTGTGTCAACTGTCCACAAGTAAGGCCATGAACTGGGGGTGATATTTTCTTTCTTTGGTTTTGAAACTTTCTGAAATGGTCATTAGATTTTATTAAATTACATTAAGAATATGTTTGAAATAAATAATTTTGAATAAAATACAAAGTGTATGAGTATTTTTTGTTTTGATAATTTAAATTGTGACAGCTGAATTCCTGAATTATTGCAAAAGCAGTTGTGAAGGGAAAGGTTTAGACTGAAACAAGACCTTATAACATAACTCAGATCCTTTTGTTCTGGAGCTGACCCATGGTGAGAAATCGGCTGATAGCAGAGGCTTAGTTGACCTAACCCCCCTTGACACCAGGGCAGTTCTCTTCCACTCTCCTGTGCAGGAGATGGAACTCAGGGTCTTTTGCATGCTCAGCAGGTGCCCTACCTCCTAGCTGCATCCAAGCTTGGCAGACTTTCCTTAGATTCTAACCTAAGATCTAAAAGGAGCATAGGCCTTCTTTTAAGTTCTTCAGATTTTATATGCTTACATGTTTTAATGACTCCACAGATTGGGAGGCAAGGGTGTTCGCCTTCCTGTAGGTAAAACCCAGGCTTCTGGGATCATGGCCTGCCCAGGCTCCACACAGTTGGATGGTTTCTTTGGAACATTGCTGCCCAGGTTGTGCAGGAGTCTCAGCTTGGTGTTGCTTGATCCTCTGTGTTGTAGGCATTGTGTACTTGTTGATCGTGTCTATCCTTACACTTACGTACTCTAAAATCTATTTCAAAATGTTTAAGATATGTTCAGGATTTTAGTAATAACATCTTTAAATTAGGCTGCATATCAAACGGAAGCATGTCACCAAGGCCTTATGTTTATTTTTGTTCATCTGTTCTAATGCTGAGTGGCAAAATACATGTGCACTTTTAACATAATATTTTTAAATGAAATTTTATGAGAAATTGAGATTGAGTATTTCTTCCATTGATATTTCTGAACAGATGATAAACAGTTCTTGGTAACTGAATCCTGTGTGCAGAACTCTAAATGGAGTGTTTCACTGAATTATATCAATGTGGGTTCCCCCCCCCCGCAAAAAAAATAAAGACCGTTTTGCTTCTGCTTTTGAATTCTAGTAAATTGTGTTATGACTAAGGATTTCTGACTAAAATTGTCAGCGTGCATTGTTAAATACTATGTGTCATGACGGGAATAGAATGTGGGTGCCTCTGACTAATGAAGAAATCTATTTAAAAGATTGTTCTAAAATCTTAGGTTGTTTTACTGATGTCTTATATTTGCATGTCAGTTCTGTAGAGAATTTGAGAAGTGAAGGGGCGCAGGGTTCTTCTGCTGTTTTGTGTTGTATCTAATTTTGTTTACATGCACTAAAACATTTAAAATTCTTATTGGAAACTTGAATTATTTGTAATGACACGGGTTTTTTAAGTGTATAACTGATATTCTAAGGGATGTTTAAGGCATGACGATACTCTAGTGTGCAATATTCAGAATTTCTTGCAAATTATACTGAGGTCTTTTATTCTGTCCTGTTTGATTTCCCACCGTGCTTTGTGGTTTGCCGCGTTTTGTGTTTTGATGGTTGATCTGTTTGCCGGTGGTTTGCATTTTTCTGCCAAGCCTCTTCTGTGCTCAGCCGTCCTCTGGGTGTGCTGTTGTTTTCCTGTGCTGATGATAGTCCTGTGCAGTTTTCCATTTGTTGGTTTTATGCATTTGCATTAGTCACCTTTCAGTCACTGCAGTGATGTAACTGAGATGATTACCTTGTGAAGAAGAAAGGTTTATTTCACTCAGAACTCATGACCTCCTGCTTCCAGCTTCCCAAGTGCTAGGATTATAGGTGTGTACCACGATCTCTGGCTTCCATATTTTTACAAAATGCCTCCTTAATGAGTCGAAATTTCTTATACAGATTTGAAACAAATCTTTGATCTGTTTTACATGTATTTTCTTCCATTCAGTGGTTTGCCTTTCTCCTTGCTTTGGTTTGTTTTTTGAGAACAAAGGCTTTTCAACTGATAACTGGCTTATTGCTTTGTCTTTGGTGATTTGTACTTTTTTTGTGACTACTCCTCTTTACGGAAAATCAGAGACCAACAGTGAAAGTCAGGTGAGTAGAGGGAGTTTTAATTTCACACATAGTCAGGCCCTTGTTCAAGTTTCTAGGGGCTTTTATACTGATATGTGAGGAATGCAAGCAAAAGATACATAGCATATACATGATAAGTAAGGTGACAGGGCCACAAAGGTTATAGGAATGCAAAAACCTTGGAAAACAAAGACTTCTGTCCTGAGGATGAGGAAGATTCCTGTTCCCTTCCCCCATTTCTGTCACTGAGCTTTTCCTGCTCCAAAGTTCTTAATTACCATCAAACTGCAAAAGCTTTTAGGACCTGATAGGCTCTTCTGTTTCCATTATACTCAAAAGATATTTCCTCCTGTATCCTTCTAGTGTCTTTTAAAAATTTTATTTATTTATTTTTTTTGGTCTTTTTGAGACAGTCTCCCTGTAGCCCCAGCTTGCCTGGAACTCACTATGTAGAACAGGCTGGCCTTGAACTCAACAGATCCGCCTGCCTCTGCCTCTCAAGTGCTGGGATCAAAGGCATGCGCCACCACGCCTGGCCTTCTAGTATTTTTATAGATTGTTATGTTTTACTTTTAGACCTGTGGTGGATTCTGAATTAAGTTTTACATATAGTGAGGCAGGAGTTGAGGTATTATGGTATAGATGTATTTAGTCTCTGCTTTGGTTCCTGGTAACTACTATTAGAGGGCTGGAATTTACCCTTGACCTCCCCTTCTAGGAGGTAGAGAGGTGCTAGAGGTTGCTAACCTTCATGGCCACTGATGGAAGAAGCCTGCACAAAGACTCCGACTCCTCCCCTGGAGTTCGGAGCACTCCCACCTGTGGGAATGTTGTAGGGTGGCCCTTCCTTGCTTTCTTCTGTTTTTTTCTGTTCCTGCAGTGTACCTTTGTTGTGAGAAAGTTGTAAAAGCAAATCAAATGTTTTCCTTAGCTCCTTGAATTTAGTGAATGAGCCTGGTGTGGTGGTGGTGGGGTGGTTTAGGGAAACCCCAGTTTTGTAGCTGGGCAGTCAGAAGTATGAATTGCCCTTAGGACTTGTGATTGGCATTTGAAGTAAAGACAGTAGTGGCCTGACTTCATGTGCCCATGTGTGCAAACTTTGGGACTGTCAGAATTTAAGTGAATTGTTGGATACCCACCTGGCCAGAGAATTGGAGAATTAGTGTGGTATCCTTTTG